GGAAATTGAGAGCTGCTATGATTTTCTATTAGCATCCTAATTCTTAGCATCAAAGGTCTCAATCTCAGATCTATTGGCTGAGATTTGAAACCTAAGTTTGCACAGCAACCACATATGCTCCAGGGATCAGATGAAGGCTATCTTTTGGCTTCAAACTTCTTCTGTGCCTACGATTTATAGTGTAATTTGCGCCTGCGATTTATTGTGTAATCGGTAACTCTGAGAGAGAGAGAGAGAGAGAGAGAGAGAGAGAGAGAGAGAGAATTGCATATTTACCGTTGATTAAAAATATTAAGTGAGAGAATTGCATATTTACCGTTGATTAAAAATATTAAGTGAGAAGAGAGGTTTCTAGAGAAGTATAGGTTTGCCCTTTTAGAAATTTGACACATCAAAGATAAGAAAATTTGCATACTGTAGCTTAGGAACAATGATAAGGCCATTAGTTTTAGTATATAGATAATAATAAATTTGTATAAATTTGTGTCATATTTAGATCCATTTTACTCATGTTGCTAAGCGTAGCAGACTAGCATTGGACGGATTATTGTGTGCTAATCATGTGATATAAATTTAATAGAAAATCTAACAAAATTTAGATAGAGGTATCAAACTAAAATATTACTAATGCGCATCAAAGTGCTAGGAAGTCACTTTGGTGTAGTGGAAAAATATTTATCGAATTTTTGATCTCTATAAAAAAATAACCCCACTTGGGCCAGCGATCTGACCCGGGTCTCGCCCACGCAAACCCCCTGCGAAGAGCCATAGGTTTGTTTCGGCCGGGGGCAAGCTCCAAAGTCTCGACTGTTCCCCAATCTTAAAAGCCTCCCCTTTTCTTCCTCCTCTCTCCTCGCTCTCTCTCTCAATCATCGATCATCTCTTTCATCTTCGTCGCCATGGTCCTCGAGGTCTGCGTCGAACCTCACGGCTCCCGCTTTTTTACTCGTTAGGGTTTCGTAAATAACGAAAAATTGGAACTTTTTCCTGCGCAGGCTACGATGATCTGCATCGACAACTCGGAATGGATGAGGAACGGCGATTACTCGCCCACCCGGTTCCAGGCGCAGGTCGATGCCGTCAATCTCATCTGCGGTGCCAAGACTCAGGTTAGTTCTTGGTTCCGCCGCCCGATCTGATGCGAAATTGGGGTTCTAGGCTTTTTTTTATGCGATCGGGAATTTGGGGCTAGGGTTTGGTTAACGCATTTGCTTGTTTGTGTGGTTGCGCTTACAGTCAAATCCTGAGAATACTGTGGGAGTGTTGACGATGGGCGGCAAAGGTGTTCGGGTGTTGGTTACTCCCACGAGTGATCTTGGAAAGATTCTTGCCTGCATGCACGGTAATTTTCTACTGGATGACTCAGTTTGGAGAGAGATCAAGTTATAATTTTTACGCTATTGTTATTAATTTGTAAGTTTTAGTTCAAATTTGAAATTGTTTAGTAGATTCTGTCAGTAAAGCTTTGAGATTTAGACTATGTGGATGATAAATATGAAACTAGGTTCATAGAATACCCTTGCAGAAGTTGTTGAACTCCCGCAGAACTTTATAGGCTTACAGGAATTACACTTATGGCCTGTTTGGATGGAGGATAGAGAGGTGGAGGGGAAGAGAAATCTAATTTTAACAATGTTTGGGAGTTCCATTTAGGAGGGTAGAGGGGAATGAGGGGAAATTTTGAGCCAAAATCTTACACCCCAATTTGGGGTGTAATGAAGGGGAAGAGAAGGAAGGGGAAAAGGAAAAGTTCCTCTTCCTTCCCTTCCCTAAGTCATCTCCCAAACACATCATTAGGAAATATAGCAGGTTACTTTTCAGACTTCAGATTTGCTGAAAGTTTTTTCGCATGTACCTGCATTGGCATATTTTATAAAGGGGTTTTTTTGGGGGGGCATATATACCCCTGCATCAATTCTTTCATATTTGTGAATTTACCTATCAAATCTTGGTACTTGCAAAATTACGCACCCCCCAGGCGATTCTCTCACATTTGGTTTTTCTGCCCCTCCCACTTAACAATGCCTTTCAAACGGTAGAATGTTAAAAAATTCAATAATTTTCAATAAGGTGGCAACAATTTCCTGTTTTAGAACTGAAAATGTTAAAGTAGGAGGAGTAGGAAAGCTCAATGTGAGAGAATTGGGGGTAGCAAATACAAAGATTTGAGGGGTAAATTTGCAAATATGAAAGATTCGAGGGGTATATATGTAGAAACCCCTTTTATCAAACATGTACGTGATTTCCAACTGAGTTGAACTCTTGGGTCCACAAGAATGATGAGCAATTATGAAAATTGGTTAAAATACTAGTTTCATAGAGAGTAAATATGTTGTTTGTAATAAATCAACTCATACCCAATGCTTTGGATGGAAAATACCATGTTGTAAAGGAGGCGGGGTAGATGGGCCTTAGACAGCAGCTTAAGCATATTCCCAGTCAATTTGTTTTAGTGAGTTGACCATGTACTCTACACAGCATATACAGACACCTAAGTGCCTGTAGTGTTAGAAACCTGGGCATTGAGACACCTAATGTTTTTAGAAACACGGATAGAAAATTGGAGGTCTCTCTGTGCGCTTCTTCATTTTCGGACCTCCCATTATTATGACACTGTTTTGCTCCCTTTTAGGCCTGCTCTATACGTATTTAAAGCTAGATGCACCCAAGTACTTAAGGTTTTTGTATCAATTTATGAACTACTTGTGACGCTTCTGCTGCTATTTCCATTTCAAGGTTTGGAAATTGGTGGTGAGATGAACCTCACCGCTGGGATTCAGATTGCTCAGCTAGCTCTAAAACATCGTCAAAATAAGAATCAGCAGCAAAGAATTATAGTTTTTGCTGGAGGGTATGTTATCCTTATGATGTACTCACTTATGTGTGCTAAATATTCATCTTAATGACTTTATAGTTATATTTTCAAAACTTTCTGTGTACCAGCCCAGTTAAATATGAGAAAAAGACTCTTGAAGCAATTGGGAGGAAGTTAAAGAAGAACAGTGTCTCCCTGGATGTTGTGGATTTTGGAGAGGATGAGGATGGGAAATCTGAAAAACTGGAAGCTCTTGTTGCTGCTGTGAACAACAACGGTAGCAGTCACATTGTTCATGTCCCCCCTGGCCCGAATGCACTTTCAGATGTACTTATAAGGTCAGTTTTTATCTTGTTCTTTGTTCAAGGGCATGTTTGAATATAACTGATCTGTATATCATAATTATCATTTTCAGCACGCCTATCTTTACGGGTGATGGGGATGGAGGAAGTGGTTTTGCTGCTGCTGCTGCTGCGGCTGCTGCTGGTGGCATGTCTGGATATGATTTTGGTGTGGATCCTAATATAGATCCCGAGCTTGCTCTTGCTCTCAGAGTTTCAATGGAAGAGGAGAGGGCAAGACAAGAAGCAGCCGCTAAAAAGGCTGCAGAGGATGCTTCTAAGCAAGAAAAAGGAGAGGAGCAGGCTTCAAGTTCTCATGACACAACTATGGCTGAAGCTGTTAGCAATTCAGCTGTTGCAGCTGACGAGAAAAGACATGATCTAACGGTCTGTGTTTCTCTTCTCTTCATTTACTATTGATGTTAATGTACACTACAAACTTAGCACCTGAGGTCAAATACATATATGGTCATGTTTGGGAAATTGTACATGCCGATATCTAGTATTTTTATGTTAAAAATATGGTATCTTAATTGAGAGATACTATATACTCTGGAAACATATTCTTTTAGATCAAACTTGTAAGAAAAGCTTCTTTTTGTCCTGAATTGTGGTTTAAGTCTTTATAACCGATAAAATGAACATCCTGCTAAGAGCATGTTTGAGAGCTTTGGATTATAATCCACTTGGATTATAATCCATAGTGTTTGGTAAACTAGTGGATTATAATCCATTTTCAATAGTGGAGTGCTTGGCAAATGGATGGATGATAATCCAACATTATTGTCAAAATGACCAAAAAGGATATGGCTTTATTCACCAAAAATAACATGACTTGGAATTTTGTGAAATAATGGGGGCTATATATGTATCTTACTTGGTCAAACCTTGTGGCTTATAATCCACCAAAAAATAAGCTAGTTTTTTTTTTTTTGAATTATAAGCCGAAATAAGCCACTTGCCTAACATCTCAAAGTATCTTGGCTTATAAGCCACTTTGACCACTTGCCAAACATGGTCTAAATCTATTTTCATAGTTCCCAATTATTGCATATATATGTGAAGAGCCACCTGTGAAACCCTGCACTGCACATCCTTATTTATTAACATACATTTTCTCCTGTTATCTAGTTGTACGTCACTTCAACATGTACATCAGTAAAGAAAATTTGTACATTGGTGAACAGAGATGGTTTTCTATTAGTATCCATTATCTAAATATTAGAGAGAATCACTCAGAAGATAGATTTATTTTTTTGGTGGATGATGTGGACTTTATCTGCTATAGTTTTTACTGTTTCTATATGACGGCAATAAGCCACAAGGTGAGTATGAGGTGAAGCTGATGCAATAGCAAACTCTGCAAAAGATGTTGCTATTGACAAAAGCAATTTTGATAGGACTAACTACACTCCAGCATGTTCAAATTTGTCACCTCTTTTGGTTCAGGGTCCAACACTCATTTGACCACTCAATCCCCATTGACGTTTAACACATATGAGTATCCACCATTACAATCTTATGTCTTCCCCAAAACTTACAGAAACATGAATACATGCAAAGCGAGTAGGAAGAAAACCCACCACTACCAAACAAAAAGGAAAAAGGGGGAAGTTTCACGTATAGAATGTGTTTCTTGCACATACATAGGAAATCAATAACCTATGCAACAAAGACACTTTCAACTGAGTCTCATATCCTTGTCAACATGTAATGGACACTGCATTTGCACAACACGCATCATGCAAACTAGAGATCGCAGATGTAAAAGGGGCGTCTTGGAGGATAAGTTTTTAAAAAACATAAGCAATTAGCAAAATGTGATCAGCAACATGTGAAGGGTACCATAGTCTTGTGTCAGGCCAAACATTGTATTGGAATTTAGAAGTCCAATTCTATGTTTGATTTAATTACTTGATTAGAAGCTAAGATTTAAAATTGTAAAGAGTATTTTTTCTTTTTGTATTTTTAATAAGATATGTTCTAAATTCTTGGAGGTTTTCGTGGATCTTGTACATAATTGCATACATGCATGCATATGTAGTTATGTCATTGTGTCTCCTATCCTACTTTTTATTTCTTGCGCTATGCCCTTTTTGTGTAGTATCATGTCCTGTGTCTATGTTTGTGCTTCATAGTCTCACATTGTTTTGTTTTCTTTTGTTTTGTTTTTTTATTCTATATTTTGACCTTTTTATCAACTACAAATGCATTAAGATAACATTAGTCACTAGATCAAGATAATACAAAGCAGCTGGGTGCGTCATGCTCATTAATTCTGAGCAGATATGTGTAAGGTCCTGATTCCCAAGCAAGCCCATCCCATATTTTATTTAGGTGAAGCTTCTTTTTGAATTGGGTGAAAAGAATTGTATATGCTTGGAAACCAAAAGTGAGATAAAAATGGATACATGAAAGATTTGACTTCTCTTAGCTCACTGTTATTATAGTCACAATCATACACACTCAACATGTTTCTGCTGAGACTTCCCAGTTGGTTGTCTTAGTGCAAACACTACCAGTTAGTAAATTAAAGGTGTGCTTAGCACATACTTATTTTATTTCCCTCATATATGAAGTTATTTGCACCACGATATTTCTACATGAGTTCTCTGATCTTTAAGGCAACTTTTCCCAGGGGAAAAAAACAATCTGAGATGGTATTGGTAAAACTTTTAGAAGATCACAGAAAACTTCTTGGCAAATAGGTTTCTGAGTTTTTTAATGTTAAGTAAAAACAGGATGATATTTAAAGGAATAGCTGTATTTGAAGGTTTTTTTTTTAATCATTGAGTATGGGAAAGAATTTACATGCTAAAATCCCAGCAGAAAAAGGTTGGTTTTGGTGTTTGCAGAAAGCACGTGATAATTTTGAATAATATGTTAGTTGCTTGATAACGACTTGAAATGATACTCTTCCATGTTTTTATGAAACTAGTTGCGCTTTTGTTCAAGAGGTTGTCGAACAATTTCTTTGGGTGCATTTTCCTTTCTTGTGCTCAGGAGAGGTTGCCTGGAATAATATCACCTCCATTAGAACCTTGGTCTCATCTTACTCACACCAATATAATCATCCCCTACTCCTATAGAAAGGGGATTGTGAGTAAACCACAAATTTCTACTGTACTCTTGGAAATATGACAGTAGTAGTGCTGAAACTTCATAAATGTTCTTCTTTGACGTGTATTCTTGAAAATACTGTATTAACATACTGCCTGATCTGTCTCTTTTTGGATTGCCATGGTCACAAATTCTTAACTTAGTAAGGAGAAGCTTATCTCTTGTGATGGTTTGTTTATCAGGGATTCATAAGAGAGCCTTCTGTGGTTTTTAGATCTCACTGACTGATATTGCATTGTTGCTAAATAAATAGTTGTGTTTACAGATTCCACTTATGCTGCTATTATTGTAGAAAACATGTATGTCTGATAAGTTACTCTGGTGGAATGTACTTCAAATGGTGACAGGATGATGAAAGTGCTTTGCTAGAGCAGGCCCTTGCCATGTCTATGGATGAGGCTAGGTCTGGTGGTGGGACTGCTGCAGACGCTGACATGTCAGATGCTACTACGGATGACAAAGAGTTGGCTTTTGGTTAGTTTTGCTATTATTCGGAGGTCCAACCTTGCATGTTTAACGTATTTATATATCTTATTTTTTTATCCATGACATCAATGCAAAAAATAAAGAGGTTGTAAAAGGTGAATAACCTGCTCTGATGGAAAAAGATATGTTGTTAAGCATGGCTCTGATGGGATTAGTACACAATACAGGGTGGACAGGGGTCGTAGTTGTCCTAGGATGAGTGACCTCATATGAAGTCCTTGTTCTATCGAAAAATACAGGAACCAGTGATATGGTCGTAGGATGAGTGACCTCATATGAAGTCCTTGTGCTATAAAAAAAAACACAGGAGCCAGTCACATGTTCCAACCCATGTCACTGGACTATATGTGATTTCTGTATGTTCTACAGTTCTGCAAATGTAACTGGTCTCTTTATCTTTTTTATATCCCTTAGACATCGAGCATGCGGGTTTGAATTACCTCATGATTAATGTGGTGAAAAGAGGCAAAGAGAAGACACAAATTTTTTTTTTGGGAGAGGAAATAAAACATATTTCCAAGGAAATAGATATTAAAATTACAGATTTCCAGGGAGGAAAATGATAATCGGAGGAGTTTGTAAACAAGGAGTGGTGCATCCACTTCAAATGCAGGCGTTCTAGGCACACGCATGCATGCACACCCACCCACCCACGTGCGCGCATACACACATCTTTCACACATATACACGTATAACCAAGTAGTAGATGCACATAAATACACATTTACATACATGCAAAATTTTCAACCGACCAAGAAAAATGTGGCTTAGATAATATCCTTTGCAAACTATAGCTCCTTCGCTTGTTCTTTCTTTTTATTTCCCTTAATTGGCCTGCATATCCTCTCAATGTATTAGTTAACGGAACCTTGTCTTTACACTTCCTTGGGAACTTATTTTTAAGTTTCCTTAAGCTATGTTTGAGAGTTTACTAATGGAGTGAAAGGGAAATAAGGGAAGGGAAAACAATGTAAAGGAAAGGAAAGGAAAAGAACGGAAGGAAAAAAAATATAATAATCATGTTTGGGAGTTTAGCAAAGGGAATGGAGGTGATACATTTTTTTAGTTGTTGGATTTGTATCATGATGGTCCACAACAATTCACCTCCTCTACACCCCAATTTGGGGGTTAACCAAATTATATAGAATGGAGGTTAGGGGATATAAAATTTGTTACTTCCCTTTCCCTCCATTCCCTTTAAAAAAAACTCACAAACAAGGTTAATCCATTTAACTTCCTTCCCCTACCCCTTATTCACCCCCATCCAAACAAAGCATTAGATAAAATTCTATCGGCATGTATTTTTTCGATATTGCATGATTGTGTTGATTTATTCCTACTTGCTATGCAGCTCTTCAAATGTCTGTCCAGGAAAATGAGAAGGATTCATCAACTCAGTCTGATGTGAGCAAGGTGCTGGAGGACCAATCCTTCGTTTCTTCCGTCCTTAATTCGGTTAGTAGATTTATCTTACCTAACATACTTTTTGCAATTTTTAGTTTGATATAGTTGTTATAATAACTGTCATCCTTATCACTTTACTGTGTTAATTGTAACTTTGCTCTCATAGCTTCCTGGCGTTGATCCAAATGATCCTTCAGTAAAAGACCTGTTGGCGTCATTGCAAGGCCAATCATCTGAGGTATGTTCATAATATTCCTAGTTCTAGTTGGACAACTAGTATACTCTTTTCATGCAGAATCTTCATAGTTGCCAATGAACGCGTACATTATCCATAACCCGAATCGTTATAAAACCACCAACCTTCAGCCTCTCCTCTTAACTACACTTAGCATACATATACATTTCCCAACCCAACATATCATAAATAGTCAATAAATCTTCTAGTTCTTGTATCCATAGTTCAAAATCGTATTTTTCCTCATGTCCATCAAATCCATAAAAGTAAGACACATTGCTAAATTTCAAAGGATGAAATTCACGTTGTTGTGATAGAGGAAGTGGATATTTATCCATGATAATTATGAACCAACAAACTTGGCTCTGATACCAAGTGATGAGAAACAGGCAGAGGGCTTCGATCTAAACATTATGAATCTGAATTTTAACTCACTGGAATTTCTCATAGCAAAGGAATAATATCATTTTTTTTCCATAAAAAGTGGACTATTTTACACTCCAGGGGCTTTTGGCTTCACTAGATATAATTGGATGCGTGTTTGTTAGATTTTATGGTGAACTGGTTTCTGTTTAGGCTGTTGTCGGCTGCTGGACAGAAGGAAAAGAGGAATGGGCCATTTGTGTCATGAACAGTAACACAACTAAAAAAAGCAGCAGCTTGCTTTTTTACTTGTAAATGGTCAGCGGAGATTCTTCTGGGGACTGGATTTATTGAGGAGATGTTTGTATCTAAGAAAATAGGAAAAAAGGATAACTTTTGGGCTTCACTTCCTAGGTAAATCGCATACCTACACATGAAGCAACTCACATGTTTAAGGTTTTCTCAAAATCACAATTTTATTCATCATTGTCTCCCTCTAAAAAAGAGAATACATATTATTTATAAAGAAATCTAATGATAAAAACGAATCTCAATCCTAACAACAAATCACAACTAATGAAACAAAATATGAACTAATGAAACAAAAATCAACTAACTAAATATCTAATCAAAATATCGAATAAAACTTCAACTGCATTATTCTAATCCTAACTAAGCTCCCTAATCTCAACCATAATTTTTGTCCTCTTTACTTTAAGTTGTCCTGCATCATATCCAATCAAGTTTTATCTTTTACAAATAAAGCAGGAAACTATACTTCATTTTCAAAAATAGGACAACCTCAACTAATCGCATATTTTAAAAGACTTGTATTGTGCATTGTACCTTTGACCATCTAGTTTATCTGTCTAGGGATAGAAGTTTTGAGAAGGCTGAAATTAATCATACCTAATACTAAGTTTCATGCGTTTTACACATAACTGCTCTGACCTAAGTTTTTTTTATAGTAAGTATCTTAAGGTTTATTTTATTATGGTAAAATGCATTAAATATAGTGATGTTGAAAATAACGATAAGCATAACACAATGTTTGCCTTCCGGAAATTTAAAAGGCAAAACAATACACATAACTAGGTTACATGTTATATTATTTATTTAAACATTTAATAGTAAAACAATGTTTACAATGATTTTAGTAAATATAATCATCACAGTTTTTAAATATAACATCACAATTATCAAAAAAAAATGTCATAATTGCTTAACAACCAATACAAAACCGCATGTGCTTCAAGTTTAAAATGAAAATTGAAAGAAAACACTCCCAAATCTAGCAATAATGCATAACTTATGGCCTTTCGATATCGTAAAGCACAATGCAATAGAGTATTAGAGTTTACATATTTTCTTTTGTTTAATTAAAGGGATTTTTTAATTAATCCCGTAAATCATTAGTATTTTGATATTAATCCCCCAAATCTTCCTATTTTGATATTAGTCCCCCAAATCACATTAGTATGTTGATATTGGTCTGTCACCTTAAATGTTAAAAACCCTAAATCATGATTGAGTCAGACTGACTATTGCAGTAATATTCATTTGAGTGGATGTTTTGTTTTTCCTTTTCTAACCCCTGGAATCTTCTCTTCTTCTTCTGTTCTCCATTCCATTTATCATTATAAAACCCTATAGCTAAAAAAAGTTCAATAGACAATCAAAAGAAATTGAAGTACACACCCATTTGAGGGACTAATATCAAAATTTTGATGATTTAAGGGACTAATATCTAAAAACCCCTTAATTTAAAACAAAGGGGATTTTTCAATAGTAGTCTCTTAAATCATTAGTATTCTAATAGTTGTCCAAATCTTCATAATTTGGTATTAGTTCCTCAAATCACCTTAATAAGTTGATATTAGTCCTTCTGTCAACTTATCTGTTAGAAACTCTAAACCATGGTTGGATTAGTTGGGTAATTACATTATTACCCACCTCTCTTAAATATTTTCAGCTAAATCCATCTCTTAAATATTTTCAGCTAAATCCATCTCTTAAATATTTTTAGCTAAATCCTTCTCCATTTTCTATTCTTGTCAGTTTTTTTCCCAAAAACATGGAGATGATTTAAGAAAGGCCCATTTGAGAATTAAGGCTTTCTGAGAAATTTAGCTACTTGGATGTGGATTTAGTTGATGTATTGATGATGGCTTTTTGATGTTGGGGTGGCGGCCTTGTCTATAAGAAGGGGTTGATTTAAATCACTTCCAATGAGATTTTTTTGGGGTTTTTGTTTAAGGTTATCACTGTAGGAGATGGCCCTTAACACATGAGCTCTATGAAAGAGAAACAGAGAGAGATTGGGAGCTCCTAGTATCATGTCTGCATTCAATTCTGCTAGTTCTGTGGTGTTCATGGAATTGGTCACCGGCTGATCAGATAGTGGTTCATTTAAATCACTTCCAAAGAGATTTTTACGGGTTTCTTTTTTTAATGAAGGTTTAGGTTGCCACTATAGGAGATGGCCCTTAACACATGAGCTCTATGAAAGAGAAACAGAGAGAGATTGGGAGGTCCTAGTACGATGCCCATGTTTAATTCTACTAGTGACATGGTTCTCATGGAATCGGTCACTGGTTGATCGGATAAGATCAATGTCGGAGATGTAGTTATGGTCTTCATGCCGAAGAATCTGAGAATTATTTGAAGCGAGTACTACAAAGACTCGAGTGACCTCTGTCAATTATTCTTTCTATGTCATTCATCATGCCACTCAATTCATCCTCAACTTCCACTATGCCGCCCAATTCAGACCAATTCTAAGCATTGACAATCCAATCACAATTGTACCGTTGGGAAGAAAGAAGAAGGTGAAATGGGTTTGGGTTTTGAATAAATGGGTTTGGATTGAGCTTTTGAGGAGTTTTAACGGTTTTATGTTTAATGGGTTGGAGTTTGGGTACCTCAAATGAGGGGTATAATTGTCCATCCAAGAAGAAAGTTAAAGAAAACTGAATATTCCTCTCTTTTTAACACCAACTAATTGGAAGGACTAATATCAACATCTTAAGGTAATTTGAGGGATTTATATCAAAATATGAAGATTTGAGGGACTAATATCTAAAAATACCTAAAAGTATTCATAATGATTTTAAGAATTAGGAACAGAATTTTAAAATAAAAATTGTTTTTATAAAAATTCTTTATTTTACAATCATCACCGTGAAATATACATATATACAATCATAAATTTACATCTTGTTCATAATTTCATATTCATTTTATTAGTCATATTTATAATTTCACAAGCATATAATGATGTCACCAAAATAAGCCACGAAGACTTAGCAAACATAAGTTATATTGAAAAAAATGCATATTATGTTGTAATAGCGTAGATTAATGGCATGCCTAAGTTATTTCAAAGGTTATTGAACATTTAAGATTTGTTAGGTTGCATAATGCAAAATAACGAGTTATGTAACGGGCTTTTTTCAATGACAGTAGTATTATCAGACCTGTATCCAGTAAGTATCTAAGGATTTACGTATTATCTATGTATCACTGAATCAGGCATTGGTACAGCTCAAAGTATTTATGCTACATACCATATTTCTCTCTGTTGCCCGATACATACATAAACATGAAAGTTTTGCGTGGTGGGGGTGTGTAGCAAAAGCATTCTTCAAGTCGACCTGTGCCCGATACATACATAAACATGAAAGTTGTGCGTGGTGGGTGGGTGTAGCAAAAGCATTGTTGAAAAGCACTCACACGCCCAAACACACCATATTTCTCTCTGTTGATTTTATTTTTCTTCCACGGACAGTTTTCTGTTGTCAAGTTTCAAACAAATGCATTTGGTAGAGACAAATGTTTTATAGGTTATCAAAATGAATTATTCAAAATTAGGGCAAATGTTTATTTCTTCCAAAATTTACCTCAATATTACATTCCCTCTATACTTGTTTTCCAACACTTTCCTCTCCCAAAGTGTATTATGTTTTCATTTTTATATCCTAAAATCTAAAAGTAACCATGGAATTGATGTTTATGAAAAAAATCCTTGTGTTTATTAAAAAAGAAAGAATATAAAATGTAATCATCGAATGACCTTTTCCTTAGTCCAAATCAAAGCTCAGTATGACATATGCTCTTATTTCTCTTAATTCAAATAATTCAAAATAATTATATACCTATTACTACAAAATTCTTTTTTAATAAATTGTAAACATGATTTGTCAACAATTAGTGTTGTTATTGTAATTGATTACTTAACAATTGTTAGTATTTTATTTCAAAATTAAGTACTAGTTTTTGTTTTAAGATTTTGGATTTTGAATCACATTTTGAAATTTATGGTTTTGATTTTCAAATTTATATTAGGCTTAGGATTAGAAGTATGGATGTAATAAATACGCTAGCGTAGTGTACTTCAAAAAATAGCTCAAAATTTCACCTAATTTATTTAATTTTTTAATAGTTTGAAACTACAGGGGTACTTATATGGATGAAAATTCTTTCACCTCTATTACTGAAATAATTAGTTTTAGCCCAAACTTGGGGGAAAAGTAATTTAAGTTACCGTTTAATATTTATACTATAGGAGGTATTTACATGTAACTGTTATCTTTATTCAGCTAAGTGTAGCTAAATGGACAACTAACAAAAAATCTTTATTTTCAAGTTAGTACTTTAAGATGTATTGCCATGAATTCATCTTCCATGGATGGGGGATAATAACAAATGTGATTGCTGATGATTTAGTAGAGATGATCCTTGGTATTGCTGAATGGAGAAAAAAATTAGGTTGCTTTGCCCAAGATCTTGGATTAAGGTGTTTGGTTGTCTCTGCCAAATTCCAAACTTGCTTAATGACGTAAATTTTTTTATGATGAATTCTGCCTTCATGTGTGAGGTGCAGTCTACACTGGTAAAAGTGTTTAGTGTTCATTGCTACCCTCAAAGGAGTTTTGAAGCTAGAAGTCTTTTTAAAAGATATACTATTAGCCTGTAGTGGAGCTTAGTACAAGTATTTGGTCCTGAGGTCAATATCCACCATCCATAGGGAGAGCATCTGACGGTGTTTTCTCCTTAATCATTGACCACATGCTCGAGGTTCAGGCATATGCTTAGAAGAGGCATGGACACTTGATGGCTTGTTTGCACACAAGACCATCCATGATAAGGTTTTAGGGATGAGAGCAAGTGGCTGGATGCCTTCGATATCATACCGACATGTCCCCGCAAAGAGAATACCAGAACCTCCTCTAAATCACACAATGCACACCATTATGTACACTGGTGTTTTTTTCTCCTGTATTTTTACTCTGAGTCTCGGAGTAAGGTTCTCATGTGATCTCACTGGTATTTTACAGTTTCTAGATCCTGAAAATAAAAATTCATTCACCTATTGTAGACAGAATATTGCGCTGTTGACTGTGATATGATTAATTACTGATTTAGCTTCTGATCATTATCACTTATTAGACTGTTTCCAACCATTATCATATAGTTGCACCTCATTAAGACTTCTTTCTTTTGGGATTTTGCAACTCTTTTCTGACCTTTTCTGATTTTTCTCCAGCAAAAGAAAAGTGAAGATAACCAAGAAAACAAGGGTGACAAATAATTGATATCCTGGAGCTGCTCGTGCCTGCTTGCTGTTTATGGTGAAATCTGATGCTCAAACGTGATTCCATAGATGTAATACTTCTATTTTTGAGCTTACCTCTGTTGGAGATGTAAGGAAGTTTCTGTTCCTATTTTCATCAGAAATTACTGCCAGCTCTATTTTGTGTGCTGATACGGTCCGTCTATATAACAACATTGTTTCATGATTCTGCATTGTGTGACATGGAAAGTCCTGTAGTCCATATGTACACCACAAGCCTGTTACTTTTGATCATCTTACGCAACGATATTGAGCATGGAGCCAGACTTGTGTTGAAATTTGAAACCCCTGATGCAACTGTCTGGAATTAAATTTTTATTAAAATCTTAGCTTTTTCTTATGACCAACTGAGGCAGTGACCTTACCTTAAGCAGTGTTATAAATTTTATTCTGCAAAAAGAAACTGTATAAAATACTGCATCATATATTATTCTTAGATCATCTGGAACCTTAGAGGTTTAGGTCAGGCATGGTTTGTGCCTGAACTTAAAAAAGTCTGCTTTGCTTCTGGCAAGGTATTAGCCTGTGCTTTCAACTCTCGTTGGATCACAATAATTTCACGCTTATATTCAGTCTTATGGTTAACTGTGGCCCCTGAGTTTTAAATAGGCTATTAAAAGAAAAGGAAAGGTTAGGATAAATGACGCCGTTTGGAGGCGGTTAATTCAAGTACTAGATTATTGTGTCCTAGTCGCTTCGCATTGGTGATAGATAGGGAAGCTCATCTGTTTTCTGCTGTCTGATTCAGTACTCAGCTTGCTACTACTTTCCTATGATTGGGATAATTTTCTATATTGTTTCTCTAATTCGATTCAGAATATCGAAGCAAGTGTGGTTAGATTTATTCAAAGTTCATTATTGATAGATACCATTGCACCCTGTACTTAAAATTGAAAATTTTGGCTCAAGGGACAACATTGACGAGGTTTTAAGGTTTTGAAATACTGTATAATAGAGAGCAACTATACAGGCAAAGGTGGGCCCAGCGATATTATTCTAGCCTGTTTAGCTGCTGCCAGAGTTCATTATACGTAAATATTGTGATGATCGTGCGTGACGTTGTGGGCCTTTTGCTCTTGCCTTGATTCTTTCCCGTTGGCGATTGCACGGGGCCGACGAACGCTGGTAACGCTTTGACAGTAGGTGGGTACGTTCATAAATTGTAGTGTTGTTCATGGCGTGATGTCCGCGTCGCACTCATCGGTGGTGGACGAAGAGATCTGCTTTCCTCTTTCTTGAAGCTAAACAGGTAGTGGTATGGGATTTCACTGTTTAATTTGTGTTGTTTTGTAACTTGTTGTTTTCACTGTTTAATTCGTGTACCCGAGAACGGCAGCCTGTAGAAGGCCGCTAGTGCTTGTAATTTGATGCTTCGTATCTGATTCCTTCGCGTATGTTTGTCCACGGATTGAACAGCTGATCTTTGACAGCTCAACCGCTTCTTCTGGATAATGCGCTAGATTAGTTGAACAATTGGATCTTCGGGCTTCATTTGTCCTAGAACCAGCTATCTTCTAATTAATTTGGTCACCCGCTGGAGATGGGGGGCCAGCGAAAAATAAGAGGACGCAACACGTTACGTTTCTTTCTTTCTTTCCTTCCCCTTCTTTTTTCCGCCCTCCTCTCTTCTCCGTGTCGATCTATGCATGAGCCGTCATGCTACCTCTCCTTCTTTTACTCACAAATTCTATGGAGAGCGCCGGTGAAATCGGAACCCCGGCCGGTCGGGGTTGCAAAGTTCTTCATAGTTGAGGGAGCAAAAGGAAGGAAGCAACCAAGCAAAGTCGAGAGAGAGAGAGAAGGACCGCTATTCCTTTCCTTTCGTCCAAATCTCTGTGATTCGATCGGTCACCTCTGGCTCCGGACTGGGACTTCCATCTTTTGGCTCGGATTACTGCGCGCCTTTACTTTAAAAAGCTAAGCTTAAAAGACCAGGCATAGAACTCGAGGAACGTGGGGCCGTGTGATCGGAGAATTGTGATCCGAACTCCAACAAAATTACACATGTCATCAACTATTTTATTCTCCCTATGAATAATACTATAAAGTTTCTGTTATCAAGAAGCTTAGTCTGACTAGTAGTTTTTATCAGAATAGAATCATCAGCTTCCCTACCGGCCGTCGATCTTGCATTCGGTTAAAAAGTATTGCTCTTGTATTATGTGTTGTATGCGATGTACGTGGCTTTTGACGAAATAATATGAATAATGGTGAGCACGAGGATGATATTAGTCGTGAATTATTGATAGGAGGGGCCAACCAAGTACCGTTGGGTACGACTCTACCACTGTTCCTCCCTTTTTTTTTCCGCTAGTTCTCAAGGGATTGTACCATTTCTGATGGCTGCATAGGCTCATTTTTTTTATTGTACGGTAGGACATGCTTTTAGAATACACATCCCATCAGAACCAGCCGCACGTGCTGCCGTATAGTGATAGGTGAAATTACCACCTTTTTCTATTAAAGGGCTGAGAACCACTTGCTCACATGCGGATGGTTCTGATGGCATGCACAATCATGCTTTTCTCTACTTCGCCAGCTCTCAGTATAATTCACCTTGGAATGATGAGAGTAGCGTAGTAAAAAAGATGAAGGGGTAAAAAAAGAAAAAAAAAAGTCAAATGTTGCATATCATTCATTGGTAACAGAAGATTATACAAATACTAAACTCTAATTCTCATCAGAATCATAGAGTTCTCAATACCATTAAAAAAATTAATAGATTAACATGCTGAGCTTCAAATTTTATGTATTTAAAGAAAAAAGTAGATCTGAACTCAAATTATGCTACTTGGGGTAAAATGAACCCATAGAGTGAAATCCAAGCCATACCTAATGCCCCCTCTTCTTCTGCTCGTGCTCATCATGTCCGCACATGATATATATGATGCAGATATATCCACTTTCGGAAAGGTTTATCGGTAATATTCGGATAATAAAATACTCTTTTGTCCATATTTTCAGAAGGTTAATAATAATATTTTTGGTTTGCCGTGTGCAACAGCAAATTGTTGCACTGTACACAT